GGGTGTAGTATAGGAGTAGGGGGGGGGTGTAGTATAGGAGTGGGGGGGGGTGTAGTATAGGAGTGGGGGGGTGTAGTATAAGAGTGGGGGGGGTGTAGTATAGGAGTGGGGGGTGTAGTATAGGAGTGGGGGGGGGTGTAGTATAAGAGTGGGGGGGGGTGTAGTATAGGAGTGGGGGGGGGGGTGTAGTATAAGAGTGGGGGGGGGGTGTAGTATAGGAGTGGGGGGGGGTTGTAGTATAAGAGTGGGGGGGTGTAGTATAGGAGTGGGGGGTGTAGTATAGGAGTGGGGGGGGGGGGTGTAGTATAGGAGTGGGGGACTTGTACTACTAGATTGGGGGTGCTTGTAGTATAGGAGTGGGGGGCTGTGTGTCCTTAGGAGTTTCTGCTCTGGCTGGCGGTACTGGGGGGGGGGGGGGTTGCCCATGGCTGTGGAGGACCGCGCCTGACGTCATGCCAATGAGTGGCCGTGAATGGCACCAACAGTGCGAAACCAGCGTGATGTTTGGGGGGGCGGGGGGGAGGGGGCAGTGGGGGGGGGGTTATTTTGGGCGAGGTGGGGGGGGGCTCCCCCGGTGTGCAACACTTCCAGTGACAAAATCCCCCCCCCCCACCACCTCCGATGTCATCCCAACACGAAGTCCATCTCACTCGCAGATGTCACGCAAAGTACAAATGCGACACACACACCCCCATTGCAATGTGGTTGCGGTGCTGGGAATCTAATGCAGTATATAAATACTGCACCTTAATCTGCAGGACTGCATTGCGTGTGGCCGATTTGTGCATTCATTTTTGCCGCAGGTTTAAAAAAAAAACCCCATCTCTCTTTATCTCGCCTGGTTTCTTTGGGGCGGCCACAACAATGGCCATTGTTGTCAGATCTGTGTTTTTGCAGCGTTTGCATGCGTGCGGTTCGGGACGCGGTGGTGTCGTGGTTAAATCGTGGTGTGCAATCGCCACACACCTCGCTTGTACACGCGCACACACGTGCGCGCGCGCGCGCGCACGCACGCACACACGCACGTACTTTGCACGCACGCGCTCACACGCGCACAACCCCGCAATGTTCATTACATCCAACAAGAGAGACGGGGGCATTATTACAGAAAATAGTCCCTCCTGTTTTTTGTGCCACCGCCGAGCCAATCCGCACGCAATCGCCGCCAGACGTGGCCGCGTAACAGGTAGCCGAAGCCGGGACGCGCAGAGTCGGCAGCGCTCAACACGCCGGCTGCTGATCATTAGGTGATAAGAATTGACAGCGTAAGGATTCAAGTTGCCCTGACTGCCTCTGCCTGCTGCTGCCTTGATGGCAGAGGGGGGGGGGGAGCCCTACCCCGAATCCGAGCAAAAACCCGGAGCGGATTTGCGAGATCCGCGCTGGCACCCCGGAGCACGGCAGGCGCGTTTCGTAGGTGGGCAGTCTTCCCCTCACCGACTGTTTTTGTGCCGATTGTTGCTTCTTGTTGTTGTTGTTGCGCGACGTTTCGGGCAATGGACTTTTTTAGTATAGAAATTGAGAGGTCACGGAGAGATGGAATGGATAACAGCTTGAGTGCAGTCTCCAACTCTTGTTCACTCAAGAGCTATCTGACCACTCTATTTATTTACGTACTATATGAAGGGCGATTGCCCGAAACGTCGCCCATTATTTTATTTTAAGGCGACAGTGTTGTTGAATAATTCGTTGCTTCTTACAAATGCCAGATTAGATTCTCATACCTTGAGCATAGGTTAGGTGCTGTGAGGAAGGGTCATTGCCCGAAACGTCGCCTATTCTTTATACGTTTTTCCTTTGAAGGTTTTTTTTGTTAATCGCAACGTAATCGACGCGTCGTCGTTGCAATGCATGCACGTGATCGCCGAGTCAGCCGAGGAGCACGTGGAGTCATGGTGGCCGAGTGGTTAAGGCGTTGGACTCGAAATCCAATGGGGTCTCCCCGCACAGGTTCAAATCCTGTCCATGACGTGCTCAGAATATATATATTTGAATGCATCTCAAATTTTTTTATTCCACAAATGTTGTCCCGATTCAAGTCATAAGTGTGTACACAATTAAGTGAGCTTTGGCGAGTGCGATTTTTTTGTATCGTGTGCTTTGTATTGTCATATGCTCTCGTTTATTTTGTGTAATTGGCTCCATCAGTTGTCAAGTCACGTGCAGTGTTCAAACAGTATCATCGGTAAGAGCCGCGTCCATCCTCACGCTGTTAACGACTCCCATCAAATCGCACGTCAGCCGTGATCAATCCACTGCTGGATGAAGACATCCCCAATACCTCCGCCACCCCATCACTAACTTGCAATGCGGCGATCCATCCAGCACCCCCACACGAACCCATTCCATCGCTCCATCTCCCCGGGCAGGCGTCCTCTCGGACGCGTTCCATTCCTTGGCTGCCGCTCCGTTATTAGTGTTGACCGTCATCCGTCGTACGTTGATGTTAAATAATGGTGAACTTCTTTCGCACAGTACGTAGCCAACCGTCTTAATCGGAGGTGAGCTGAATGTATAAACGCACGATTCCAAATGTGGAGTGGGGAAAACCCAGTGGACCCGGAGAAAAATCCACGCCGTCACGGGGGGAGGGACACGCAAACTCCAAATATACAGCAGCAGGCGCCAGGGTCGGGATCGAAGCCCCGACCTCCTGTATACCAGGCGAGGTAGTTAACATCTCCTAGCCACCGTGATGATGATGAGAGAGAGAGACGAAAACTCCAAATATACAGCAGTCGTCAAGGTTTGGGATCGGAGCCCCGACCTCCTGTGTACCAGGCGAGGTAGTTAACATCTCCAAGCCACTATGATGATGAGTGAGAGAGAGAGACGAAAACTCCAAATATACAGCAGTCGTCAAGGTCAAGGTTTGGGATCGAAGCCCCAACCTCCTGTGTACCAGGCGAGGTAGTTAACATCTCCTAGCCATCGCAACTTCCCATCGCCCCTTTTTAACCGTGACGCGTCCTTCCCCAAGCCCCGCTCAGATTTCTTAACACTTTGGATGTCGCCATGAACTTTGCGCTGTGCTCTGTAATCCACGCGTCCCTCGTGCTGTCTCTCAGTGTCATTCCCAGCGTGCACCAGTCGCCGCCGCGCCCACTTCAGCTTTCGTTCACCTTTATAACTCCAAGCCCGTGCCTGTGATCCCAAGTCACGATCGGGGCAATTACATTAAGCGTATCCTTCCTACATTGTGTTCGTTGTCGTTCTGTACGTATGTTGGACTTCTTTCGCACCGTGCGTAGCCAGCCGTGCTCATCGGAGGTGCAGGGGGAAGGACAACAAACTGAACACAGAAAGCGGCCTTGAGCAGCATCATCATCGTTTTTTTTTAAAATCCGAAACGGAAGAGCTGCCCTGAGCTTCCACTGAAGCTAAGACACATCTGCAGGGGGAGTCGAACAACTCGTTTCAAACACGACACAGACAATGCATAATACGCACACCGCCTCTGTGCAGCGTTCAAAAGAAAAAAAATACCCCATCAGCATTTCCTGAATTAGTGCATTGTGGTCTTCGAGTGCATTGTGGGGTCTTGAGTCAGACAGTGAGACACCCTTCCACCGTTAGCCACAGCGACGTTAATCTCAGTGAACGTGCCAACGTTGGAAAATTGCACCAACGTCGGATAATCGTTGCACCAATGTGGGAATAACGTTGGAACAACGTTGGAATAACGTTGCACCAACGTCGGAATAACGTTACACCGACTTCGGAACAACGTTTGAATAACGTCGCACCGTCATTCGATCGTTGGTCCAAAGTTGAGTAAGCTTTGAGCCAATGTTACATGTTTAACTGGGGAGATGCTTCCCCTGAAATTATATTTTGGAACACAAAGGCATACATTGTAACGGTGAGATCATATCAACCGCGCATCTCGGATTCGTTGATTGACTTGGTCATGGAAACGACCATTGGGAATGATCTACACTTACTAATGTAATGTACGCAATGCCATATTCGGTGTAATAAATATTGTGCAATAGAACAGCACGTGTGAACGACACACACAATCGATACGATCGTCACAATCCAGGGTGACGCGTTGACTGTCCCGGTTAAATCGATTTGTTTTAATATCGTACATTGCGTCTCGATGCAATGTTCCATTCAGCCAATAACTATTCCCCTTATTAACCAAGGGAGAGCCTCGCTGAGTCTCAAGGCTCCTTTTCAGGAGGGTGCTGCCACTTGGGGATGTATTGCCATGGGAGTTCGTTTGCGCGTGGGAGGAGGAGGAAACCCCAGGGAACCCCCACCGTGAAGACGAGGGGAGTGGGGGGTGAGAACAGAGCTCACGTGCAGTGTCAGAGCCGTCCACAGGGTACGGCGAATCGAGGCGATCGCCCAGCCCCTGCGTGGAGTTACTCCTCGAGATGGGGCTTAAGGCCGTCAGCTGACACGTGCACAGCAAACCAAGCGATGGCACGTGGACACACACCGCATTACATATATAACTTAGAATCAATTAATCGCCTCATTTAAATACCAGTGCAATAATCACCCGATATCCGTATTGATGTTTGTGTAACTTAATTGTACTCCGATTGTTTTTTGTTAATTTGCTCCGAGCCAACCCTTTCATTCCAGGAAATGTAATTTTACATAAATTTGTGCTTATCCACTGTTTTCGATGTCTTTTCTTCTTCTGTAGTACTGCTGTTGCTTTTGCTCCGATTTCCATTCTCTCCATCACGGCCCAGTCACCCGTGCACCCACGTTTCTGTGCCATCATTGCTTCTCTTCTTCCAATTTTAAAAAAACCCATCATGCTCCCGTCTCGAATTTCTCACCTGGAGCTCGCACAAAATCAACTTTAGCCGTCGTCCATCCGGCGCAATGCACGGCATGCACGGCATGCCACCCCAAGCATCCCCTCCAATCATCAACAGCAGAATGCGTCGTGGCTCCACGCTCCACGCTCCGGAGCCCGGAGGTTGCGGGCCCGCGATCCACGCCGGGACTTGCGCCCCGCCCGGCCGCCCGCCCGCCCGCCCGCTAATAGGAGCAATGGGTAAGAGTTGTGCCGCGGCTGCCGCTGGTGCCATGCGGGCTCGGTGAGCGAGAGGATAAACCTCGCGCGAGCCAGACCAGCCCACAGCCAGCCAGCCTTACAACAACAACAACAACCACAGCAGCAACAACAACAACAGCGACCACCACGGGAGATACAACAACAACGGCGGCGGCGGCGGTGAGGCGACGTGGAGCGATCGTCCATCAGAAGCCCGGGCGGGAGGGATAGGCAGGCCGGCCGGCTGGCGGAGCGAGCGGGCGGGAGGCGATGATGCGGGTCGGAGTGCTCGCGGTGCTGGCGTCGTTGATATCACCACCACCATCATCACCACCACCACCATCATCACCAGCAGCAGCAGAAGAAGAAGAGGTAGCAGCAGCAGCAGCCGCGGCGTCGTCCTCCTCCTCCTCCTCGTCGTCTTCGTCGGGGTCGCGGTGTTGTCGCTGAACGCGCAGCAGCAGCAGCCGCCGCTTCACGCAGGATCATGGCCGCGCAGGTCCCTCCCGCTGCTGCTGCCGGCGGCGGCGGTGGCGGCAGCAGCAGGGACGCGGCTGAAGCGCCGGGACCCAAGCAGCAGCAGCAGGGGCTCGAGGGCCGGGACACGGGAGGAGGAGGAGGAGGCGGCAAGGATGGCGTGGTGGTGGTGGTGGTGGCGGGCGGCAAGCAGGATGGGCTGTCTAACCACAGGCTCAAGGCGGGCGAGGAGGCTCCTCAATGTGGAGGAGGAGGAGGTGGCGGCAGGGAGATTGGGGGCCTGGGGGACTCCGACGGTCGCGTGTTGCACCTCGCCAAGGGTCCTCCTCCTGCTGCTGCTGCTCCCCCCCACTCGCACCCCTCCTCTGTGGCCCCGCCGCCGCCTCCTCCTCCCCCGCCTCCTCCTCCTCCATCGTCTTCTTCTTCGGCGTCTTCTTCATCTGCCGCTGCTGCTGCTTCGCTCCCTCACCAGGGTCCGATGGGAGAGGGCCCTGCCATGGGCGGCGAGGCCCGATACGAGGGTCCCCTGGGGGGAGCAGCAGCAGCAGCAGGGTACGGCTACCCGACCCCGTACCGGGGCCCCGGTGGCCCCGGGCTCCCGGGGGCTCCCGGCTCCTCGTCGTCCACCTCGTCCACCTCCTCAACCTCATCCTCCTACGAGCAACATGGCGGACAACAAAGCCAGGCCGCTCTCCTGGTGGACGGGCCTCACAACTCTCACGACGGCTACGCCAACAGCAGTGGAGGCGCGGGGCAGTACGGGGCAGGCGGCCACCATCATCACCACCACCATCATCAGCATCATCATCAGCAGCAGCATCATCATCAGCAGTACGGCGGCTACGGAGCGCCTCCACCCAGGGGTTACCCGGCCCAGCCGGGATACGTTCTGGGGGGCCCGCGTGGGGGGGCCCTAACCAAGCAGCAACAACAGCAACAACATATGATGAGTGGCTATGCGCACCACCACCATCATCAGCACCACCACCAGCAGCAGCAGCACCAGCAGGCTCAGCAGCACCATCACCATCAGCACCACCAGCAGCAGCATCAGCAGCAGCAGCATCATCATCAGAGGTTGCTGGGCCACGTGAACTCAACACAGCAGCCTCCCAGCGGCGCGACCCCGACCCTCAACCAGCTGCTGACGGCCCCCAGCCCCGCCAGGGCCTACAACAGCTACGCGGCCCAAGACTACCAACACCAGCACCAGGGCCTCCACCAGGGCCTCCACCAGGGCCTGCACGCCAGCATGGCGGGGCCCAAAGCGGCCGAGCTGACGGCGCACGGCCAGTACGGAGCGGCTCAGCAGCAGCAGCAGGCGGCGTGGGGAGGACATCAGCGGACGCACCCGGCCCTCAGCCCGGGCGGCTCTGGCCAGGCCCTCGCGAGATCCCAGGTAACGCGTGGGATGAACGACCATCTGGCCTTCTCGGCTCGGTTTGTCCAGAAGCCACTGGCCAGGCCGTGGATCACTTGCTTTGGGACATATCCGGAGAATGACCTGCACCTCTGGACCCACGATGTTTTGAGTGACAATGTGACTTTTATGATTGTCAACATTTTTATTTTTTGGGTAAGGGCCACCCTGAACCGGCCGTGAACATTTTCCCGGGGATTTCCGATCCGAATCCTCCCCGAGATGGGGCGGGGGGGGGGATTTGTTTCGCTCGCCGCGGTTCTCTGTGCTCAACAAACGTGGCCAAGGCAAAGAGGACATTCCCAGTAGGAATTGGGATGGAACTTTAAAAAATCCCCAGATCCAGGGGCGAGTCCTCCGATCTGGTAAAAGTACTCGGCAGCCCCTGTTTGCTCACGCCGTCCGCTGGCCCTTTGTTCGGTGTTTCTGGGCCTCGCTTGGCCGATGATCGTCGGGTTCTAATTTTAAGGCAGTTGATATCGGGGCTGTTCTGTCAGGAGGATGATGCTGCTACATTGGGGATACCTGGCCATGATTTCCATTCGTAATGAGCTTTGTGTGTGCGATGAGAACGAGAGAACCCGGAGAAAATCCACCACGGATACCATAGCTCGATACAGATTCAATAAATCCTCTTGATGCCCTGCTATTTCATAGCCACCTCAGCCCCGCGGAAGCCTACAACACCCGCGATTCACAGGCAGTCTCCCGTTCGAGCAGTGACCGGGCTCAACTTTCGCTTAGCTTCCCAGATCTGACGAGATCAGGCGCAGTTGGGGTGATTCGGTCATTAGAGTGGGAGAGAGAGAGAGCGCGCGCGTGTGATCGGCGAGCGGTCTGCGCTGTGCTGATGGGAGCCCAAAGGACGAACCCCGGGGGCTGCTGTTGTGAAGCGTGCGAGTTCGTTTTGCGGGTCGCTCTTTTTCCCCTCTACGCATTTGCCAGGCCCCTCGTGTGCCGCCCTCACTGCCTGGTGACTGCTGGGTTTGTGAAATTACGTAAGGGCCCCGGGCCGTCTGCTGACATGGCGACTGTATTCGGCAGGGAGCGAGGGGGCTCGGGGTGTACAGTCACGCACGTGGCGCCCGCCACTGCCGCCACCTCTCCCGTGGCTCCCCCCCCCACCCCCTCATCATCCGTCGGCCGCAATTGACGCGGGGGAGTTCCGGCGTGCGGCTCTGCGTCTCCTTGCGCCGCCGCCTCCGCTATGGTGCCACCACCCCCCAACCAATTCCCCTGCCCCCGTGGGGTTCAGTGACGGAGGTGCCCACTTGGGCCGCTCAGGCCGGTCGCGAACTCAAACGCGAGGTTGTCCCCGTCTCTCGTGAGGACGCCACGAAGGCGTGCAGGAGATGCCGTGGGGTCACGGTAATTTCCGGTGTTTTCACACGCGTGCGTGCGTGCCTGCGTGCGTGCCTGCGCGCGCGCGTTGGCTTCTCAATGTCTGCCGCAAGGTAGGGGGAGGACCTGCGTAGGTGTGACGAAGCACTAGACCATTCAGGGAGCCTCCTGTAGTCTCGGGGAGGCCGGAAGATTGTTCGGTGTGCTTGGGTTTCCTGCGTGGGCTGTGGCGTCCTGGGTGGAGAGAGCCCTCCCTTTGCAGGCTGCCTCTCTCTCTCGTTCACTGCAGAGATTGTTCTTGACTCGCGGTCTTTCACCCATTCGAGGTTTCAAGGTCCTGGGATATGTTGGTCTGGAGATGGTTGTGGTGGCGTGTGATGCCACCCTGCACTTTGTTGGCCGCGCACGGCAACGGAGGAGGACGTCGCTATGGATCTGTCGTTGATCTCCTGACCCTCCTGCGTGGCCGCCTTGCACCTCCGTGGAGTGTCCCCCGCCACCTCTCCACCACGTTACGTTGATGCTTGTGGTCAGAACCTCCCCCCCCCCCCTCCCGGTGGCGAATGTGAACTTGGTCACACGGGGTCTTGGGCCTCACAGTCTCCTTTTGTGAGCCACCGCCCCCTCGTGACTCTTCAGTCAGGGCGCCAGTGTGGCTATGAGATGTTAACTACCTCGCGTGGTATGCAGGAGGTCGTGGGTTCGATCTCAACCCTGACGCCTGCTGCTGTATATTTGGAGTTTGCAGTGTCTCTCTCTCTCCCCGTGGTCGCGTGGATTTTTCTCCGGGTCCTCCAGTTTTCCCCTCCCCATTTAGAATCTTCCGTTTCATGTATTTGGCTGCTGCTATACATATCCACGTGACAAGCCACTTCGTTGAGCTATCATTTGTGGCCACTCTCTGAAAAAGAGCTACATAGCTCAGTGGGCCTTACCTGGTAAAATTAAATGAAATAGTACAAAATCTTAAGGAAGTCGTGCGTCTGTCACCAACTTTCCGCGACGTGCCATTGACACGCCACCGTGAAGGGATAGCGCCGTGAATGAGACAATCGCACCGCTGTGAAATAATTCCCGTGACACCTACGATGGTGTCGTTTTTGCAACCAATTATCCACAGTTTCAGAAAGCGTGGGGGTATTTACGGAACAGGTCGACGGTTTGATGCGCACGCTGAACGGGCAGCGCGCGATCGCCACCGTCCCCAGAGTGGGCACAAAAGTCTGTTGGTCCGAGGGCATCCGACACCGCGGTTTATAATCGCTATGAATTCTGAATTTCAGAATTTCATAATTCATCGTCGGTGGCCGTACTGTGTTCCCAAGGAAAAATGTGCTTCACCATCGCATGAACGAAACGTGCCTCAAGAACCGTGCAACCTGCCATGCGGCTGGCAGGAGCCTGGCCTGGCGTGTGCCCTTGTGCGTACCTCCTTACGAGGTGCCGGATAATTTGTCGCTCCTTGTTCGCCATTTAAAACCACCGTGGCCTTGGGCCCAAGTTTTAGTTTGGCCTCCTGTGCCGCTATCGGTTGCAGCCCCGCGTGCGGCTTGGGGGGGGTGGGGGCCCTGGCTGGTCCCGAGCTCCGTGTGACGGGCCGCAAAGCCGGAGACTGGAAAGGGCCGGGCTGGCTGCGGAAAGTTGAGAGCTTTCGAAACAAGGGAACAGAAGCATTCCCGTGGAGGCCTGCCGCAGATCACAGCGACCTGGGATCTGCATAAAGAGTGCACGTTCTGTTTGAGAGATGAACACAAGAGAATTGACTCTCGGACCGAAAAAAGTATGAAAATAACTGCTGGATGCAAATGTGGGAAAAGTTTAGAATCAATGCCGAATTCTTGTTACAAATTTTGCTGAGACTCTCCGAGTAACAGGCGACAACCCCTCCATCACTTTTCCAGCCGACAAATGTTCACATTCTCTTGACTTTTGTAATGTTTTTGTATTTGGGATTGGGATGTGGCACACCCCCCCAACCCTACCGCCACCACCGGAGCTCTCTCCTGGGTTCATCCGCCGATGACGATCGAGGCAAATCGCGAGACCGTTCCCGGTGGATGTGACCGTGCCGCTCGTGCGGCGTGCCGTGGGGTTGTCCCGTCACCCCTGTCGGGGAGGGCGTCCCACCCGCCCAGCGAGAGACCCGGGACGGCGACGGTCAAATTCTCACGCGCCCGAATTTCCCCTCCGCTGACGCCGGGCGTCGCCGGGTCAAACGCTCCGGGCACGGGCCACCCCCCACTCCCCAGCCCGCCCGCCCGCCCCAGAAAGGTGCCGCCGACCACAGCGCGAGATTCCAGTCCGGCAAACCTCCAGACAGCGGACGGGCAGGCAGGCAAGCCGGTGTGTGTGGGGGGGGAGGGTGGGGCAGTGGACGGGTGGGCGTGGGGGGGGGAGGCGGAGACCTTTCTCTATGTAGATTAGCCATGTGCTAGCCAGGGCACGCGGCGAGCCCAGCCCCGAGTTGTGTTTGTCTTTGTGTGCCGCACGCGCCGCCGCCGCCTGACGTTACGCAATGAAAGGCGCTGCTGACAGCGTGGGGGAGGGGTGGGGAGGGGGGCAGCAGCGGCCCTGCTCCTCTCTCCGCGTCTGCCCGTCCCGGTTTTCCGCTGAGCTGCCGCAAACCGGCACCGTGACCGGTCGCCCTTTAATGATGCCACCGTCCGCTCGGGAGAGGGGGCCGTTGCGAGCCGATGCTGAGAAGGAGTTACTGTGGGGGCCGGGGGGGAGGGGGTGGCAGGGGGGCAGTGGTTGGGTCCGGGGCCTCTTCCTGCACAGCCTGCTCCTTGGTTTCTCGGAGCAGGCTCATTTTAACCACGTGTCGAAAACAATGAAAAATCCAATTAATAGCACCGACTCGCCGTCCCTTTCCAGCCGCTGATTTAATTCCATGGGCAGGGTTTGCTTTGCAGGAGCGCGCTACGCTGTTCTGTGTTTAGGCGTCGGAGAAAGCGCGGGTGGCCGCTGATTTAAGACGAATCCGCGAGAGAGCGGTTCTGTGTATCGCCAAATGTGTTGACGGCCGCGAGTGGTTTTGTTGTTGTTTTCGTAGCCACCGCGCGGCCCCCGAACCTGCTAACCGCTTGGTGCGCGCCGTGCCTCCCCGTCTCGCCCGGCCCCCGCAGGGCAATCCCATGGAGCCCATGGGGGTGAAGCGGCCGCAGCCGTACGGAATGGGAGGCAGCCCCTACCCCCAGCACCCCCAGCAGGCCGGCCAGGGGGGGCCCTACTCGGCTCAGCAACCGTACAGCCCGCCCACGCCCCAGCGCTACCCGATGGGAGCCCAGGGGGGCCCCCAGCCCCCCATGACGGCCGGTCCCTACTCGCAGAGACAGGTACGCTCGTTCACGCCCTCCGTCTCGACCATTCGCGATCGTCGGTTAACCCGGGCGAGGGAGCCCATCGTTTGTGTGTTGCCTTCCCACGCTTGTTTAGCCGGGAGTCTCGAGGACATTTTTCAAGAGGGTCCTGCCACGTTTTTGCAGTTGACGAGCATCGCTGCGCGGTTTTCCAAGTGAAGTAATTTTACGGCGTAATTTTTTTAAACGTAGCAAATTCAGACGGTGACCCTGGCAGCAAACGGTGGCCTCCTCCTCTTCGAATGACGTCGATGGGTCGTTAGCAAAAACAAAAGACAAAGATCCCCCGTTTTAGCCTTTATGGACTGTTGGGGCAAGTGCTGTATACGAGCACCTATGAAGGCCGGCACGGCACACGAGGGGGTGGGTGGTCAGCACCACGCCCGACCGCCTTTGTCTCCTCGGTGGCGATGTTTTTACACTCCGCACCAGGTGCTCATTTGAGGCTGAGTCGACCTAGGGGAGGCCCAGAACCGGTTGAGATAATCGTCACCAGTGTTGGCCGTGAGCGGGAATAGAACTCGGGTCACCGGGTCCGTAGCGCTTCGTCCGCTAACCGCCACGCCACCGCTCCCCACGGGGGTCTTTAGCTCGCCCACGGCCAAACAGACGGCGCGTACTATTTTTATGGTTCACACACCACCGCAGTATTGACCAGGGCGGCCTACCAGAACCGCGCCGCGAACCCTCTGCAAGGAGCGTGGCGAAACTGTGCTCCCGCTGACGCCGCTTCACCGCCGCCGCCCCCTTTTGAAGTCAGCTGAGACGACCGTGTCCCACAATGCAATGCGAGTTGAGACGTTGCAGTCTTCCCTCGCTGTTTACGTCTTTGCTGTCTGCGATTCTGGCTGTCCACCAATCGCATCTGCAACTCTGCAACGACTGCATTTATAAGCTATAATAAAATATTTTCATGTTTATTTTTATTTGCTTTGTTTATTATAACCAATTTTTTTTGTCTCATTCTGATCATTGTCACATATTTTAAAGCTTATTTACGTACTTATTTAAGGTCATTCGTAGGCCAATGTCATTATCCGCGAAATTTGCTGTTCACGAGCATCTCCGGAACGTATCCTCCGTAGCGGATAGCGAGGGAATACCGTACAACCATACAACTCGAAGCAATGGACAAAGTGCGTGACGTTTAAAGTTAATCTGCGACCAGCGCGTACGATCCATCGTTGATTGTTTTTGTTGTGTTGGCCCCGCTAACTCCTAACGTCATTGGCAAATTTGTGTCGTGAGGCCATCCACCACCTGGCACGGTGTGCAGGCGTGGTTCACTACTCACCCAATGTTATTGGTGCAGGGTGGTTCACTACTCACTCAATTTTATTGGTGCAGGGTGGTTCACTACTCACTCAATTTTATTGGTGCAGGGTGGTTCACTACTCACTCAATGTTATTGGTGCAGGGTGGTTCACTACTCACCCAATGTTATTGGTGCAGGGTGGTTCACTACTCACTCAATGTTATTGGTGCAGGGTGGTTCACTACTCACTCAATGTTATTGGTGCAGGGTGGTTCACTACTCACCCAATGTTATTGGTACAGGGTGGTTCACTACTCACTCAATGTTATTGGTGCAGGCGTGGTTCACTCCTCACCCAATGTTATTGGTGCAGGGTGGTTCACTACTCACTCAATGTTATTGGTGCGGGGTGGTTCACTACTCAATGTTATTGGTGGAGGGTGGTTCACTACTCACTCAATGTTATTGGTGCAGGGTGGTTCACTACTCACTCAATGTTATTGGTGCAGGGTGGTTCACTACTCACCCAATGTTATTGGTGCAGGGTGGTTCACTACTCACCCAATGTTATTGGTGCAGGGTGGTTCACTACTCACCCAATGTTATTGGTGCAGGGTGGTTCACTACTCACTCAATGTTATTGGTGCAGGGTGGTTCACTACTCACCCAATGTTATTGGTGCAGGGTGGTTCACTACTCACTCAATGTTATTGGTGCAGGGTGGTTCACTACTCACTCAATGTTATTGGTGCAGGGTGGTTCACTACTCACTCAATGTTATTGGTGCAGGCGTGGTTCACTACTCACCCAATGTTATTGGTGCAGGGTGGTTCACTACTCACCCAATGTTATTGGTGCAGGGTGGTTCACTACCCACTCAATGTTATTGGTGCAGGCGTGGTTCACTACTCACCCAATGTTATTGGTGCAGGGTGGTTCACTACTCACTCAATGTTATTGGTGCAGGCGTGGTTCACTACTCACCCAATGTTATTGGTGCAGGGTGGTTCACTACTCACTCAATGTTATTGGTGCAGGGTGGTTCACTACTCACTCAATGTTATTGGTGCAGGGTGGTTCACTACTCACTCAATGTTATTGGTGCAGGCGTGGTTCACTACTCACCCAATGTTATTGGTGCAGGGTGGTTCACTACTCACCCAATGTTATTGGTGCAGGGTGGTTCACTACTCACTCAATGTTATTGGTGCAGGGTGGTTCACTACTCACTCAATGTTATTGGTGCAGGGTGGTTCACTACTCACTCAATGTTATTGGTGCAGGGTGGTTCACTACTCACCCAATGTTATTGGTACAGGGTGGTTCACTACTCACTCAATGTTATTGGTGCAGGCGTGGTTCACTACTCACCCAATGTTATTGGTGCAGGGTGGTTCACTACTCACTCAATGTTATTGGTGCAGGGTGGTTCACTACTCACTCAATGTTATTGGTGCAGGGTGGTTCACTACTCACTCAATGTTATTGGTGCAGGCGTGGTTCACTACTCACCCAATGTTATTGGTGCAGGGTGGTTCACTACTCACCCAATGTTATTGGTGCAGGGTGGTTCACTACTCACTCAATGTTATTGGTGCAGGGTGGTTCACTACTCACTCAATGTTATTGGTGCAGGGTGGTTCACTACTCACTCAATGTTATTGGTGCAGGGTGGTTCACTACTCACCCAATGTTATTGGTACAGGGTGGTTCACTACTCACTCAATGTTATTGGTGCAGGCGTGGTTCACTACTCACCCAATGTTATTGGTGCAGGGTGGTTCACTACTCACTCAATGTTATTGGTGCAGGGTGGTTCACTACTCACTCAATGTTATTGGTGCGGGGTGGTTCACTACTCACTCAACGTCACGCGTTTAGAGTATTTGGCTACTATATAGATTGCCACGTGATGATAAGCCGCCACTTGTTTGAGCTATTATTTGTGGCCAGGTCGCTTCTGAACAAAGAGCTTACACAGCTCAGTGGGCCTTACCTGGTAAAATAAAATAAAAAGTTTAATAGTTTTCAGTTTATTTTTATTGTCACGGCTCGCTCATCGCTCGAGTCGGACGGCAAATCTCAGCGGGGACCTGCGACAGATATTTGATCGGATCTTTAAGTGAAATAACCCAAAAATCAATTGCGAATCATTTTAAATGTAGCTTACTTTCCATCCAAACCAAGGTAGCTGTAGGATAGGCTATAGTTTAAGAGCTTTCATATTCCAATTAGACATTGTTTCTCTCTGTGGGGCATAGAGAAGCTATGAACGATCCCACACAGGCCCAACACGCCTGCACCAATAGTTGGGCCTGTGTGGGGTCGGTTCGTGCAATGAGATTCGTTGTCACTGTGTTGGGGATCGTTATCATCACCGTCACCAGGGGCGGGATCTCTCTCAAACAAAACAAAAACTAAACTATTTATTTATTTTACCAGGTAAGACCCGCTGAGCTATATAGCTCTTTTTCAGAAGTGGCCACAAATGATAGCTCAACGAAGTGGCTTATCACGTGGATATGTATAGCAGCAGCCAAATACATGAAACGGAAGATTCTAAATGGGGAGGGGAAAACTGGAGGACCCGGAGAAAAATCCACGCGACCACGGGGAGAGAGAGAGACACCGCAAACTCCATCACAAATGATAGCTCAACGAAACTCATAGCAGCCTCTAAACGCACGTTGATCCACATCTCGTCACCGCGGCGCCCCTCTGTTGGATGAAGGCTTCCCCAAGCCGTCCTCCGTCTCTCGCGGTCTCGCAATGCGGCAACCTGTACACCTGGCGCGCGCGCGCGCACGAGCTGATTTCGTCGCTCCGTCTCCTGCGGTGGACGTTCTCTCGGCTCGTGTTGCCCCCTCCTCCTTTGGCTGCCACTCCGTCTTTAGCCTCGGCCGCCGGCAACGATGCTTCCTCCTTCTCGCCCGTGACGCGTCCCGGCCAATCCCCACCCAACTCGACGTGATGTCCCTTGCGGTCGCTGTTCCTTGTGTTCCTCGTTCTCTGTCTCCGTGTGATTCCTCAAACGCGCCTCTCGGTAACCGCCCCAGGTGGCCCGGCGGTTGAGCGAGCGGCACAGGTGATCCGAAGGCTTGCGCGTTCAAAGCCTGGTTGGGGGGGATGACTTGGCCCATCGTCCCCTCCCGGGGTCTGTGTCAAACGAGCACCGCATTGTGCGGAAGTCACCAGTGCTTGTTTTATGTAACAGCCTCGCCCGCAACCCCGACATAGGAACGTGGAATTTCCACCACTGGGCTCTGCAAGGGCTGTGAACGGCGGATGAGCGCACCGATGCCTCAATGTTCATTCGAGCAGGAGACCACTTTGACTTGTGGACGTGAGACCGCTCGACGCGGCGTGAGCCTCGATGACCAGGAGTGGTCGCCCTCTACTCTCCACGCGTCCCCCTTGTCACGGCTGTTCAGAGGTCGGAAGTTCAGAAGTTGATTTCCCGAGTAGAGCCCATTACGAACTGGGCCGTATATCTCCTTTCCATCGGTGACCTGCGGACAACATCAGCAGCGGTAAAGTGTTTACATATTGCAAGTTCTACGTGCTTTGAAAACGTACATTTAGATAATATAAAATACTATATTAGAAAAAAAGTTTGTTAGCTAGATTCTACCTGGATTCCTGCCTGCCCGGGTAGCACGCGGTGGTGATGTCACCATGCACATCTGCACGAGATATGCTATCATGCCATCATATCACACACTATATTAGAGGTTTTGCTGGCTGGCTGGAAGGAGAGAAGGAGGGACTGACAGACGGACGGTTATCTACATCCACACCCAATGGCCGAGTTTTAAGCCTCGGCGAGTCTAGAGACTCACGTTTGTGGGGATTCTGCGACGTGGGGACGATGCTAGCGATGTGTAAACGAGCATTTGTTCGCCTGAATGTAGACTCGAAACCGGGGTGGGGGGGTGGGGGTGACACGCCTACGACACCCGGCAAGCCCCTGGTGTTCGCCCGTCCAAATGCTAGCCAGGCCCAAACGCCGCTTCCTGGAGCCGATGAGGTCGAGCGTATTTCTGGGCGATTTTGTCAGTCCGCTGCCGGACGAAGGCCTCGTCGCTCTCTTATCGCTGCTGCCAAGGCCATCGTTGCCCGTGAACTTCTGCACTCAGAATTGACGGTCCGCCGCTCGTCTGTGGCGCGCCAGTCGCCGTTTCAACCGGGCTCTCGAGTGGAGAGGGTTGATGGCCCGCACGATAGAAACTCGTCGCGATCTGGCTAAAATTCTGGCTCTGAGAGAATGAACAATAAATCGGTCCGAACTATCACGTGAAGAAACCTAACTCGCAGATGCTAAACACATTACACGATGTAACACAATTTTTGTTCCTGGGTAGTAAGTGTTATTTCGTAATTGCTTATGTCTAGAAAGTATAGAAAATGGCTATTATTCCCCGCAAACTTTGCTTTTGTGACCAGGACAGTGATATTCTGTGGGTCTTTCGGTTAAGTCACGTAGATATGTTCAAAGAAAATAACAAAAACCTTCGACGTTTCGATCACAACACAAGCGATTGTCACCAGGAGGAATAAATGGCGACCGCTTGTGTTGTGATTTTAAACGTCGTAGTTTTTTTTGTTATTTTCTGAGACCTATCTACGTGACTTTTACCGAAAGACCCAAAGAATATGAATTCCTGCAGTCACTAAAGCTTTAAATCAAGATTTAGGACAGTGATATTCTGAAATTTGCCTATTTTCAATGAGAAAACGGGCGAATTTGTGTCTTTTCGTTCACATAAAGTCAGAAAAAAACAACGTGAATCAAAATTAACATGTATTTATACTAAAGTAATAAAAAAATGACTACAAAAGATTTAGAAGTGAGTAGTTTTTCGAGATTTACGATTATGCTGTAAATCACGTTCACGAATCAGCCCCCAAATGTAGTCTCCCATCATGTTCTCGTTGTACTCCTTGGTAGCGGCGTTCCAAGTCCAGTATATCCTGGTGGAAGCGCTCGCATTGCTCCTCCGAGTACGCTCCCATGTTCTCCTTGAATTTATCAAGATGAGCATCAAGGATGTGGACTTTGAAGGACATCCTACAGCCCATTGTGCCGTAGTTCTTCACCAGAGTCTCAACCAGCTCCACATAGTTTTTGACCTTGTGATTGCCCAGGAAGCCACGAACCACTGCGACAAAGCTGTCCCAAGCCGCTTTCTCCTTACTAGTGAGCTTCTTGGGGAATTAATTGCACTCCAGGATCTTCTTTATCTGTGGTCCGACGAAGACACCGGCTTTGACCTTTGCCTCAGACAGCTTAGGGAAGAAGTCTTGAAGGTACTTGAAGGCTGCCGACTCATTATCTACAGCTGTGCAGTGGTGGCATCAGCACCTTCCGGGGGTCCACCAGTGGCTCCCACTTGACGTTGTTCCTCCCCGCTGTGGCCAGTCCCGCCTGTGGTAGTGCGCCTTGGTGTCTAAATCTTTTGTAGTAATTTTTGTATTACTGTACTTTAGTATAAATACATGTGAATTTTGATTCGTATGTTGTGTTTTTTCTGACTTTGTGAACGACACAGATTCGCCCGTTTTCTCATTGAAAATAGATAAATTTCAAAATATCACTGTCCTGGGCCCAAAAGCAAAGTTTGTGGGGAATAATAGCCATTTTCTGTACTTCTGAGGCATAAGCAATTAGGAAATAATACTTACTACCCAGGAACAAAAAAAATTATTACACAGTGTTATCCGTCGCGTCGTTGTGGAGAATATAATTAACAAAATAAATTGGATGTGCAAAAAAAAAACCACCCACTACGTTTTTACGTTTTGAGACGGATGTGCGAGGAGGCGTATTCTCACATGCTGTGTCCAGCAGGAAGTGCTGCCCCCTTCTGTGTTGACCGGAGGTCATTTGAAGAAGAAGAAGAAGAAGGGATCTCAAGAGGTAGCTTTGTGATATCCGCTTCCGCGGACCGTTCTCTAGCATGAAGGCTAGCGCTGCTTTGCGGGATTTCCGTCGGGGATTCCGCCGCCTTGATTAAGAATATTGAAGCTGTACTCGGGTTTGACTGGTGACAAAAGTCATCGCGCGCAGTGCGGCGGCGTGGAGGTTTGGCGAGCTCTGGCACACCCCGAGTGTAACACCCTCACCGTCACCTCACCACGGACCGCCGGCGGACTTGGCGACTCTCTGCAGCCACCGTTGTCTCCCCCGCAGGTCCCCGTCGCCTCGCGCGTGCCCGGCCTCCGTGCCGGTCGCGTTGTCCGTTTGTTTGTCCACGTTTGCGCGGAGATGTTAACTCCCTCGCCCGGTATGCAGGAGGTCGCGAGTTCGATCCTGACCCTGACGCCTGTTGTATATTTGGAGCTTGCGCGTCTCTCTCCCCGTGATGATGATGAGCTACATAGCTCAGTGGGCCCTTACATGGTAATTAAAAAGTTTAGTTTTAGTTTAAACTCGGGGGCGGAGTACAGGCCCCGAGGTCCACAACGTCAAGCGGCGACTATGATTAGCGCTTGTATCCTGCGGACTGCATTTTGTCATAGGCCTTTAGGCCTGTGCTTATTCTCGTCGATTCTTGTGTGTGACAATGTGGTTTAGGAGCTTGATGCCAATGTCGAGGTGCTGCTGCTGACCAACATGAGACAGCTTCAGCAGGGGCAGAGAGTTCGTGTCGTGTCGCTGTTCCTCCTTCGTTGAAGAGGCCCAGACCACAGTGGGCTCACTGTGCGGTCCGTAGTCCGTATCTCTATGGGTCTCTATGCATCTCTATATATCTCTGTGTGTCTCTATGTGTCTCTATGGGTCTCTATGCATCTCTATGTATCTCTGTGTGTCTCTATGTATCTCTATGGGTCTCTATGCATCTCTGTGTATCTCTGTGTGTCTCTATGGGTCTCTATGCATCTCTGTGTATCTCTATGTATCTCTATGGGTCTCTATGGGTCTCTATGTATCTCTATGTATCTCTATGAGTCTCTATGTATCTCTGTGTATCTCTGTGTGTCTCTGTGTGTCTCTATGTATCTCTGTGTGTCTCTATGTATCTCTATGTATCTCTGTGTCTCTATGTGTCTCTATGTATCTCCGTGGGTCTCTATGTGTCTCTACGTGTCTCTGTGTATCTCTATGTATCTCTGTGGGTCTCTATGTATCTCTGTGTATCTCTATGTATGTCTATGAGTCTCTATGTCTCGATGGTCCATAGTCTGGGTCGCATGGCCAGTCGCACGCCTGTAGCTTGTGTCTTTAATTTACAGGTTTCTTTGGGTATATGGGTCTCTGTGTATCTCTGGTTGTCTGTATCTCTGTGTGTCTCTGTGGCGTGACTGTGGTCCGTACTTTGGGTTGCATGGCCCCAGTCACACTCCTGTGTCTTAATTTTACATCTATGCAGGAGATGTGTGCATCGGCCTGCTGGTGATGTTCCGACGCAGTAGGTGGTTACCCCAGGGCCCGTGCCCACCAACAGCAATATAAACATTGGTCCCGTGCATGTGTCTGTGCGTGTGTGCGTGCGTGTGTATACTCACTTCCATTGGCTGTTGCTGATCTCGCTAAGCTCCGTTTGGTTCCCTGCCATGTCTAGCATAAAGGCCAAAAGGATATCTTAACATGTCCTGGGCTTCTCCTAGGCCGACTCAGGCTTGAATGAGGAGCTGTGGTGTGTAAACAACAGCATTGGTGAGACTAAGGTGGCAGATCGTGTTGCTGACCACCCATCCCCTCGTGCGCCTTGCCAGCCTTCACAGGCGCTGCTCGCTAACAGCACTTGCCCCAACAGTCTATTAAGGCTACAGGGGGGATCTTTTTCTTTGTGTGTTGTGCGCTCACAGGCCGTGCCTCCTCATTACGGCCACCAAGGCATGTCCGGATACTGCCCACCAGGCCAGGGGCAGCCGCACCCGGGCCAGCCGCACCCGGGCCAGCCGCACCCGGGTCAGCCGCACCCAGTCCAGCCGCACCCGGGGCAGCCGCACCAGGGCCAGCCGCACCCGGGTCAGCCGCACCAGGGACAGCCGCACCAGGGACAGCCGCACCAGGGCCAGCCGCACCCGGGCCAACCGCACCAGGGCCAGTCGCACCCGGGCCAGCCGCACCAGGGCCAGCAGCACCAGGGCCAGCCGCACCAGGGCCAGCCGTATTACGGGCAGCAGGGAGCGGGGGCGTATGGAGGCCCGCGGTACCCCATGCAGCAGGTGACCACGCATGCGGCGCTCCTCCTGTCAAGGCCATCTGCGGGCCCGGCGCGTGGCAGGCGGGCGGGCGGGCCGGGGGATGGCCCTCGTTACCGAGGCAACGTAAATCCGTGCTGGGGGCCACCGAAAGATTCACCGCCCCCCCCCCCCCCCCCCCCCCCCCCCCCCCCCCCCTTCCTCTCCCCACAAGGGATTCCACGAAATGTCTCGTCAAGGTTCCATTCATCAACCGCGAGGCGTAGAGGCCGTACGTGTTGCTGCATTTGTGTCCTCTTATCTGGTGTCCTCAATTCCGCAAACGTGCACGGAGAGTGACTTCTGGCTCCACGGTGGCTAGGAGGTGTTAACTACCTCGCCGGGTATACAGGAGGTCGTGGGTTCGATCCCAACCCTTACGCCTGCTGCTGCTGTATATTTTGAGTTTGCGTGTCTCTCTCCTCGTGGTTGCATGGATTTTTCTCTGGGTCCTCTGGTTTTCCCCTTCACATTTAGAATCAACGTCACGCGTTTAGAGCATTTGGCTGCTATAAATTTCCACTTTATGGTAAGCCACTTTGTTAAGCTATAATTTGCGGCCAGGTCGCTTCTGATGAAGAACTATATAGCTCATTGGGCCTTACCTGGTAAAATAAAAAATAGTTTAAATTCAAATGAGTGTCGAGGCATTGGTGCTCATCTCCTGTTTACAACTCTGAGCTGGGAGGTTGAAATTCCTCATTCCTATGGCGGGAGTGAATCTATCCGATAGGACAATCCCACAAAGTGGCACTCACTTTATCGACGCTGGAGGGGAGAGATGGTGGGCTGAGTCAACCCTCCAACCAGAGTTTGAACTCGCAAACTTTCCATGAATGCTAAAAAAATATTTTGGAGGTCTTCAATAAAAACTAAACTTCCCATCGACCGCACAGCCACCTGGGAACGCATAGCTACAGCAGTATTTTCTGACGGCAAGGAAAACTCTGGACCGGTTTCGACATGCAGTGTCTCATCGGCAGAGCCAGGGGCTTTTCTGAACCAATTCAGGTCAACTGCCAGATGTTTGCAGGCAAGGGCCCCTCTCTGGGATAGATGATAGGTCCTGGTCCAACACATAACGCTATGATACAAAAATATAGAATACATTTAGATTATAATTTGCGTTATCTTATCATAATTGCGAAAAAACACATTTTTTTGGTAATTGAACGATCAATGATTTTATTTTTCTTGTGGGAAATAGTGAATGGTGGAGCTTCCGCAGTGGTACAACAGTCAGCACGCTGGACCTGCGAGCCAGAGCACACAGGTTCAATTTCATCTCCTGCTGCGGCAGTTCAAACGATGGGGGCAACTTTCTTAAATTATTCCCCACCCCCTTGACTTGCCCACTTAGCCCCCCACACTTCTTAGCCCCCCCCTTTGCCCCCCCCCCCCGCCCTTAGCCCACCCCCGCCACCACCTCCGTTCACCCAGCAGTGTAAATGAGGTCCCCATCGTCAAGTCGATCGGCAGGTCGCGTTGGGTGGGGTAAAGCGTGGGTACTCCCACCTCCTTCAAACGGTCGCCCAAAGATCATCCCCATGTAGAGTTGTTCGCTAGAGCGGCCGGTGGGCGGGGGGCCTCCTTCCTCCGGCAGCGGCTTGAGCGAGCAGTCGCAGGCCTGCGCCTTTGCCTCCCTCTCCCCGCGTGCGATTTCATTTGGCACCCGACCTTCTGCGGCGGTGGGATGTTGGTTGCGGGGGCAGTTGTTATCGGCGCCGGCTGCTCACCGCCTGGCTGGCTGCTGCCATCCCCGCTCGTGTGGGCGAGCGTGCGGGGCGTTGTTGCCACGAGGGGTGGTGGGGGGGGGGGGGGGTTCGTCGGCGATGCGGTGAGGATTCGATGGTTCGTCGCCGCGTGCCGGACAAATGCACGTCGGTGGCTGGCGGAGTCGCGGAGAGGTTCCACTCATTCCCACTCGATTGGCGGATTAATCGGTGGGCGGTTACCAACCGACGCTTGCGCGCTGAAGCGGTGGGGGACGCCGCGAGAGGGTGGCACGTGCGCGAGTGTGCGTGGGCGTGTTTGGCGTGCACGCGTGTCAGGTGACCGGTCGATGCGTGATGATTTGCCGAATCGAGTCGCGCGCGTTGTTTTAGGAATCGGCTTAGTACACGCGGGCGCATGCACGCGCGCACACGCGCACACACTTACGTACCCATATATACACGCTAAACAAAGGCAAATATCCCCCGTATAGCTTCAACATACTGTTGGGGCAAGTGCTGTTCGCGAGCGCCTATAAAGGCCAGAATGGTACACGAGGGGGTGGGTGGCCAGCACCACGCCCGGCCGCCTTTGTCTCCCCTGTGACGATGTTTACCGACCGCATCAGATACTCATTTGAGGCTGAGTCGACCTAGGGGAGGCCCAGGACCGGTTCAGATAATCGTCACCAATGTTGGCCGTGAGCAGGAATCGAACTCGGGTCGCCGGGTTCGAAGCGTGGCGCTAACCATTAGACTGCCGCTCCCAACGCACACACGTCTACACGCACACACACCCCTACACGCACACACACCCCTACAAAGACAAAGACAAAGATCCCCCATATAGCCTTAACAGACTGTAGGGGCAAGTGCTGTTAGCGAGCACCTATGAAGGCCGGAACGGTACACGAGGGGGTGGGTGGCCAGCACCACGCCCGACCGCCTTTGTCTCCCTAGTGGCAATGTTTACACACCGCACCAGGTACTCATTTGAGGCTGAGTCGACCTAGGGGAGGCCTGGGACCGGTTCAGATAATCGTCACTGGTGTTGGCCGTGAGCGGGAATCGAACCCGGGTCGCCAGGTTCATAGCGCAGCGCGCTAACCGCTACACTACCGCTCCCCACACACACACGTCTACACGCACACACACCCCTACACACACCCCTACACACACATACGTCTACATGCACACACACCCACACACACCCCTACACACACCCCTACACACACGTCTACACGCACACACACCCCTACACGCACACACACCCCGACAAACACCCCTACGCACACACGTCTACACGCACACACACCCCTACACACACACGTCTACACGCACACACACGTCTACACGCACACACACCCCTACACACACACGTCTACACGCACCCCTACGCACACACGTCTACACGCACACACACCCCTACGCACACACGTCTACACGCACACACACGTCTACACGCACACACACCCCTACACACACACCCCTACACACACCCCTACGCACACACGTCTACACGCACACACACCCCTACGCACACACGTCTACACGCGCGCACAGACACGTGCTGTCAGAAATCGGCGTGATTGTTAAATTGGATATTGTAATTTTGTTTTAAAGGTTTCTACAGTTAACACAAGCTTAATTAATTTTAGTTGCAAATTGAGAGACACGCAAGGTCAAGTTAACCCCTGCACGGCCGCGACCGAGCCACCCCCTCCCAACGCGCTCCGCTCTGAACGTCGACCCCCTTCGTGTCCCCCCCTCCAACCTCCCCTACACCCGCCCCCCTCCCCCCCTGCCCCCCCCACTATCTCCCCCCCCCCCACCATCTCCTCCTCCCGGCCTTGCGTAACCTCGCCCCCCCCCCCCCCACGTGTCCGCCAGGAGGTCCCGCAGGACCTGTACGGAGGCAGAGGGCCCCAACCGCTCCCCGCTGGGAAGGCCGGCCATGACGACATGGGCATGATCCAGCCGGGCCGTCCCTCCAGCCTCCCCGTGAGTGTGCGACGTGACGAGCAGGCCGGCCTCCACGTGAGTGTGCGGCACAGTGAGCAGGCCGGCCTCCACGTGAGTGTGCGGCACAGTGAGCAGGCCGGCCTCCCCGTGAGTGTGCGGCGTGACGAGCAGGCCGGCCTCCCCACGAGTGTGTGGAGCAGCGAGCAGGCCGGCCTCTACGTCAGTGTGCGGCACAGTGAGCAGGCCGGCCTCCCCGTGAGTGTGCGGCACAGTGAGCAGGCCGACCTCCCCGTGATTGTGTGGAGCAGCGATCAGGCCCACCTACCCGTGAGTGTGCGGCACAACGAGCAGGCCGGGTTCCCCGTGATTGTGTGGAGTAGCGATCAGGCCCACCTACCCGTGAGTGTGCGGCACAGCGAGCAGGCCGGCCTCCACGTGAGTGTGCGGCACAGTGAGCAGGCCGGCCTCTACGTCAGTGTGCGGCACAGTGAGCAGGCCGGTTTCCCCGTGAGTGTGCGACGTGACGAGCAGGCCGGGTTCCCCGTGAGTGTGTGGAGTAGCGAGCGGGCCGGCCTCCCCGTGAGTGTGCGGCACAGTGAATCAGGCCGGGTTCCCCGTGAGTGTGCGGCACAGTGAGCAGGCCGGGTTCCCCGTGATTGTGTGGAGTAGTGATCAGGCCGGCCTCCACGTGATTGTGCGGCACAGCGAGCAGGCCGGCCTCCCCGTGAGTGTGCGGCACAGTGAGCAGGCCGGTTTCCCCGTGAGTGTGTGGAGTAGCGAGCAGGCCGGCCTCCCCGTGAGTGTGCGGCACAGCGAGCAGGCCGGTTTCCCCTGAGTGAGCGGCGCGACTCCCAGGTCGGCCTGCGTGTAATTGCTGGCATAACAAGCAGGCCGGTTTGCTGCTGCTGCTGCTGCTTGCAGTCCCCACCAGCCGGTGTCGTGTGTGGTGGCTGGGCTGGGCTGTGATGGCAGCGCTGTCCAGCTCCTTGGTGCTGAAAGGTTCATTGACCCCGGCTGCAGTTGAGACTTGTTGTCTAGGGGTGACCTGTGTGTGTGTGTGTGTTTACTGTGGTTAGGTGAGAGGTGCGAGCGTGCGTGGGAAGTGGTTATCTAGCGGTTTAGCGCGCTACGCTATGAACCCGGCGACCCGAGTTCGATTCCCGCTCACGGCCACCAACACCGGTGACGATTATCTGAACCGGTCCTCCCCTAGGTCGACTCAGCCTCACATGAGTGTGTGGTGTGTAAACATCGCCATTGGGGAGACACCCACCCCCTCATGTACCGTGCCAGTCTCCATAGGTGCTCGCTAACAGCACTTGCCTTCAACAGTTTGTTTCGGCTATACGGGGGATCTTTGTCTTTGGTGTGAGTGGTGTTAGTTGAGAGCTGTCAGTGTGATTAGGTGAGAGGTTGGTGGCTATATGTGGTTAGGTGAGTGTGTGTGGAAAGGTGAGCGGTGTGTGTGGTTAGGCGAGCGGCGTGTGTGGCTATGTGAGCGGTTGCGTTGCGTTTATATAAGCGGTTGCGCACCATATACGCCACACGGAACCCTCTAACCCTCGCAAGCAGGGCCACCTCCCCGCCCTCCCCATTCACTCCCCAGGGGAAACCTTCTGGAGGTGCTCGCACCAATTAACCGAAACATCTCAACCAGACTCGCCTGTCGCGGCCGAGCAGCGTGACTGTCGGTGTGTGCGTGCGTGTGTGCGCGTGCGTGCGTGCGTGTGTGCGTGCGTGTGCGTGCGTGCGTGTAATTTACTCTTGAGGCCTACGGTGTGGCTCGTTCCGCGTGCGTGTGAACCCGAGCTGTCCGCTTCCAATTTGCAACGCGGGACAGCCGCCGACGCGCCCACTTTCGGCGGCCTCCTTGTTCTCGTCGTGAGCCCTCTCGCAAATAAATCTCGCTCCGAATTAACGGCACGGCCGCACGGCCGCGGTCCCTTTGGGGCGCCGCGGTGAGCGAAAAGTCAACTAACCTCCCCTGCTGTGTATTTGGAGTTTGCGTGTGTCTCTCTCTCTCTCTCTCCGTCCCGTGGATTTTTCTCCGGGTCCTCCGTATTTTCTCTCCACATTTCGAATCGACGTGCGTTCAGAGTATTTGGCTGCTATGGATTTCCACGTGGTGATAAGCCACTTCGTTGAGCCATCCGTTGCGATAGCCAGGTCGATTCTGAAAAGAGCTACGTAGCTCAGTGGGCCCTCCTTACCTGGTAAAATAAAAGTTGGTTATTAAATAGCGAATATCAAGGTGAGAGGAGTGCACAGAGAGGAGGAGGAGGATTCGCTTCTTCGTCTCTCGTGACGAGGAGCAGGAGGACGGACGAGGACATGCGCAGGCACCGGGAGACTTCGCCGGACGGTTGCGGTGGTGGTTGCGGTGGTGGTTGCAGTGGCTACGCTGCACGTGGCTATGCCCGTGGAGGCAGCAGCGCCAGGGGTTGGTGGATCACCGCACAGATGTTGCGGAACTCCGTCGGACGTCGAGAAGGAGCCGTTATACCCCCGGCTCGCCGGGAGAATGCGGCACAGCAAAAGCGCGAACCAATCTCCACCTGTTCCATCTGTATGGGAAGGGGGGGATGGAGGCGGGGGGGGGTGGAGACGGACCCTCCCTTTGCACGCATTGGTTTTCCCCGTTGTGCTCTGGTTTCCTCATTAACTGGTGGGACCGCAGAGTTTGGGCAGTTGTTATCAGCGCTGGCGGCTCACCGCCTGGCTGGCTGCTGCCTTCCCAGCTCGTGTGGGCGAGCGTGCGAGGCGTTGTTGCCACGGGGGGGGGGGGGGGGGGGGGTGGTGGGGGTTCGCCGGCGATGTGGTGCGATGACGATTCAGTGGTTCGTCCCGATTCCGGGATGGGATTTCATTCGAGGATCGCCGTTTTTGTCGTCGTCGTTTCCGTGAGAGAGAGAGAGATGGAGAGAGAGGTACAGGCACGTGTGACGGTGGGACAGGCACGTGTGTGACGGTGGGACAGGCACGTGTGACGGTGGGACAGGCACGTGTGACGGTGGGACAGGCACGTGTGTGACGGTGGGACAGGCACGTGTGTGACGGTGGGACAGGCACGTGTGTGACGGTGGGACAGGCACGTGTGACGGTGGGACAGGCACGTGTGTGACGGTGGGACAGGCACGTGTGACGGTGGGACAGGCACGTGTGTGACGGTGGGACAGGCACGTGTGACGGTGGGACAGGCACGTGTGACGGTGGGACAGGCACGTGTGACGGTGGGACAGGCACGTGTGACGGTGCTTGTGCCCACGACAATAATAATACAATAATACTGCTGCTATGGTCTTGGTCGCGTAGAAGGGAAAATAATAAAATAATAAAAATTAAACAATTAAATTCTCACGACGTTTCCATTGCAACACAAACAATCATCATCAGGTGTGAAAACCACAGCAAGAAAATAAAATAAAAATTCAAAAATGTAAAATATTTTTTTTCTCTAAATTTTGTGTTGCAATCGAAACGTCGTGATAATTTGATTGGTTTATTTTTATTATTTTATTATTTCCCTTCTACGTAACTTTACCGAAAGAACCAAGATCATGAATCCCTGCAGTCACGAAAGCTTTGAAACGAAATTTAATACTCCTGCTGTTGTTTAGCTTCGTGTATCGCGGCGTCGTTCGTGCCAATCGCGTCTCTCACAACCGAAACAGAGACGAGCGTGGGAGGCGACAGTCAACAATCAACAATCGCCCGAGCTCTGCGGTCCTCTATGCACGGAGGTGTTTTCATCCGGACGAACGAGCGTTTGCACGCGACAGGTTTGCGACGCGTGAGAATCAGTCGATCTGCGACGTCCGCCGCTCGGGGTCGCGACGCCTGAGCGGCCGTGTTGGGCCGCGCTCTTGACGCCCCGCTCCGTGCCGCTCTTCTTCCCCGCTCCGTGCCGTCGGCTTGCCCGCTCCGTGCCACTCTTTTTCCCCGCTCCGTGCCGCTCTTCTTCCCCGCTCCGTGCCACTCTTCTTCCCCGCTCCATGCCGCTCTTCTTCCCCGCTCCGTGCCGCTCTTCTTCCCCGCTCCGTGCCGCTCTTCTTCCCCGCTCCGTGCCGCTCTTCTTCCCCGCTCCGTGCCGTCGGCTTGCCCGCTCCGTGCCACTCTTTTTCCCCGCTCCGTGCCGCTCTTCTTCCCCGCTCCGTGCCACTCTTCTTCCCCGCTCCATGCCACTCTTCTTCCCCGCTCCGTGCCGCTCTTATTCCCCGCTCCGTGCCGCTCTTCTTCCCCGCTCCGTGCCGCTGTTCTTCCCCGCTCCGTGCCGCTCTTCTTCCCCGCTCCGTGCCACTCTTCTTCCCCGCTCCGTGCCGTCGGCTTGCCCGCTTCGTGCCGTCGGCTTGTCCGCTCCGTGCCGCTCTTCTTCCCCGCTCCGTGCCGCTCTTCTTCCCCGCTCCGGGCCGCTCTTCTTCCCCACTCCGTGCCGCTCTTCTTCCCCGCTCTGTGCCGCTCTTCTTCCCCACTCCGTGCCGCTCTTCTTCCCCGCTCCGTGCCGCTCTTCTTCCCCGCTCCGTGCCGCTCTTCTTCCCCACTCCGTGCCGCTCTTCTTCCCCGCTCCGTGCCGCTCTTCTTCCCCACTCCGTGCCGCTCTTCTTCCCCACTCCGTGCCGCTCTTCTTCCCCGCTCCGTGCCGCCGGCTTGCCCACGACAGCCTCCTCCCTGTAAAGCAATAGCAGATCGTTTGCATGTCATTTGCATAGACCATAAATAATTGATTATCATACTCCGCGGTTTGATGGATGTATCGTGAGCGATACATTGATGCGTGGCTACGTGCCTGGATACTAGCAGGGAGAGCCGTACAGGGTGCTCGTCTGTAGCTGAGAGGGCCGTGCAGGGTGCCGGGTTGTAGCTGAGAGGGCCTTGCAGGGTGCCAGGTTGTAGCTGAGAGGGCCGTGCAGGGTGCATGAGGTAGCTGAGAGGGCCGTGCAGGGTGCATGAGGTAGCTGAGAGGGCCGTGCAGGGTGCATGAGGTAGCTGAGAGGGCCGTGCAGGGTGCCGGGTTGTAGCTGAGAGGGCCGTGCAGGGTACCG